TGTTAGGCACTTGTAAGTCCCAGATCTTATCATCTTATTAGGTATGTGTGAGATTCTCAGTATGATCCATCCTAGAGAAAAATTCATCTCTTTGTCTCTGAAACTAGAGAATAGGTTGTCTGTTTTCATTGTATGTTGGCTGTTGTTGTTGTTTGATGCCATCAAGTCGTAGATGACTTATAGCGACCCTATGAACGAACGGCCTGAGCACTGTTTGTACATAGAGTTTACAGAGGCAAGCCATTTCAGAAGTGGATGCCGCTCCTGCTTCCAGGCTTGATTTAGTCGGGAAGCCCCAGCCAACACTGTCCACCATGGGTACTCGTTACAACGATTGGCACATCACTGTCACAGTCTTCAGCATCACAGCAACCACGAGTTACCTCATGGTATTCCTTACCAGCTCTGATATATTTGAGATTATTGCTACAGTCACTGTATCATTCCAGTCTTCTTGAGGGTTTTCTTTTCTCTCCACCTTTCCAAGCATGATCAACGTTGTATTAGGTAGATGCCGCTGAATATGATTCATAGTGACACTGAACAAGGGATCTGAACTCTCTCATCCTGTACCATCCTCACCATCTGACATACTGGAGCCCACTGTCACAGTCACTGTGGCCATCCATCTTGCTAAAGCTCTTCCTTTTTTCACTGACCCTCCCCTCTTCCAAGCATGATATCCCTTTAAAAGGAACAGCTTTTTCTAACACCATGCCCAAAGTATGTGAGACAAAGTTTTGCCATCCTTGCCTCTAAGGAGCATTCTGGATGCATTTTCTCAAGGACACATCTATTTATTCTTTGGGTAGTCCATGGAATATTCAGTATTCTTCTCCAAGGACACAACTCAAGCCATTGCTTCTAGTATCCTCAAATTCCTACTGCTAGTCTAAGAAAATAATGAAAAAGAAATTTTAAGATAACTGTTCTTTCTCATTTACCTAGCATGGAATCACTGTATCATCCTTCCAATGAATGTGCAAATGTACCCTTTAATCACTACAAATAAGTTTCTTTGGAAATATTTCTTTTTCATATCACAAGGGAAAAGATAACTAGTAGCTTTCTGCCAGCTTTGAAAATTGGAAGACATAGGGTAACTTTGATCTTGGAAAAGATAATGACAAACTATGAGTTGGTTCAGTACTCTTCAG